AACTCAATTTGCTCGGCAAATCGATATTGATCGGCGTTCTCTACCCACCATGAGTAGGGGCGGTTCTTTATCATGGCCGAAGCGACTTCGGCATTCTCCCATTTTGAAAACCCAGGGAGGATATCCCAAAGGACAGCGGGAACTTCATCATCCCGTCCAGAAGCGCTCGGCTCACCCGTTCTTTGAGGAGGAGCCGAGGAAAGGGGAGTCGCCCTAATCCCTTCAGCAGGGTCAGACTCCGGCCTTTGACCATTCCAGGTCCCAATCCTGTTCCTAGGATCGGGAAACGGCCTTGCTCTTCTTGGAGCACGGGCTCTACCTCTAACTCCTCTTGCCATTGATTATTTCGAAGAGAAAAGTCGAAAGAAAAGGGGAAGGAGTTCGAATTCGAAGAAAAATAAACTGAAATCAAAGGAATTTACCTTAATCTGAAGCGAAAGTTGCCGATTTACGAGTTCGTAGTGGCAAGTCTCAGTTTCTAAGCTTAAATGCTCGGGGAATTTGCGAAGTTTTGATGCGGGTTCTTGGTTTCTCTCTTGAGAATTTTGGGTTTGTGTTGGTGAATAAGTGAGGAGAATGACGCGCCTTCGTTTATATCTCCAGGTACGGGATACGAGGAGTCTGTGTTTTAATTTCTCTTAAATACCCACTAAGTAACCATTAAACACATGATCTTGCGATTAAACTGCCCATTATCCGTCCAACTTCCGCAATCATTAACCGTTGTTATCTCATTAATTACGGTTTAAATTCAAATTTTTGGATCAATTAAATCATTTACTTCCCTCCTTTTCTGAATTTAATCAAACCCGACCCGTCATCCTTCCAAATCGGGTCTGGGGGGCAAGTTGTTTGGGTCCAATTTATTCAAAATTGGGCCTAAGCACTAAATGATCCAATTAAAAGCCCAAGGTCAAGGTTCAACTCTCCAATTGTGCAAAAGTCAAAGGTCAGCCCACAAAGCAAGCCAATTGGGCTGAAGCCCAACCTCTCCATGTATGATGAGGTATAAAAGCCATCATATTGACACATTCACTTTTTCATGTTCATATACACGTTCATATTCATATTCTGATTCATATACTCATTGAGATATTCAGATATATTCCACAAAAGCCTCAAGCTACAAACTCTCTTGCATAGTGTCTTCTTTCTACACATTGTACTGACTTTAGCATCGGAGGGGCCTTCCTCGGCAACACCCCCGAGGCTAGTTTACGTGTGTTTACTGTGCAGGAAACCTTCGGCCCAACATAACTTGGACCGAATCCAGTCTTCTCCATTTCAGCGGACCTTCAGCAAGGTCCCGTTGTTTTCACCCGAAACATTTATATTTCCTTTCAAATGAAATATCTAACGCTGAGTACTTGAAAACTTATGCTAAATTACTCACGCACATTTCAATCTTGAGGACTCTCATGTGAAAGAGAGTGCGTGATAAAATATACTCCACAGTTAAAAGGACAGCGTAGGATCAAAGTAATCAAATTAAACTTACCATTAGTGTCACATAGTTACGTTCTTGCTCAATGTTTCGTATGTAACTGAATTCTTATGTTTTTATCTAAGTTTGGTAAAGCAATCTTTCAAGTTAAGTGAGTTTCACTTTTGATTAAGATACTTGGGGAAAAGGACAAAGAAAATAAAGTAGGACAAAGAAAATAAAGTGATAAAATGAGCAAATAAATTAAAATGGTACGTACTTATATAATTTTACGATGATGTCATAGCCGTCAATGGAAGTGATGCAAGTGTAAAGTTGCAAAAACCCAGACTATGAATAATTGAAATTGCAAATAGCCATAAAAAAGGAGCTCTTTCTTGGTACCTTCTTCCTCTATTAATTCCATGGCTTCTTATGTGCAATTTGCTGTCTAATATTCTTTCCATACCTCTTTTTCTTTTTGCTTAATTTCTTGTAATTTGTTTGAACTTAGATGGTGGTTGAAGGAAATCCATATTTTCATGTGGAAATCTAAATTGACCAACTTTTTAAGGTGCTACACATCTTGTTGCTTCTTGTCAATTAATCTAGACTAATATTTGGTTGTTTTCGGTTTTATCTTTTTGGAAATCAATGCCAACAAACATAAGTTTGATTTAATAAGTCTATTAATTAAGAAAAATCATTTAACAGGGAAAATATGGGTCAATTGACCATATTGGTATATAAGTTAACACCCTTATGACATATTGGTATATAAGTTATTGCCGGCGACATATTGGTATATAAATTAACAAATTGTGACATTTACCCCGCCCTATTTTTTCTTCGGTTGAAAGAGCGTATTGTATACTTCAAAATTTTGTTTTAATTACTTTTGCAATCTTATTTATTATCATAATATACTTATTCAGCACCAAATAATATTTTTTCCCTCTTCCCTTCCAATACAATAACTTTGATAAATCAATCAAATGATAAAACCAGTGGCGGATCCAAGAATCTGAACTAGGGGTAGCACTAGATAATAATAATAATAATAATAGTAATAATAATAATAATAATAATAATAATAATAATAACATTGTTGTAACGTATCATAATATATAATCAGCCAAACATGGATATAATGCGTTGTATAGTCGTATAATAATTAACAATCAAATTTAGACATTTATATTGACAAGTTCAATTATATTGTGTCTCGTCAAAAAAAAAGTTCAATTATATTGTGGATATCGATTATAATATTATAAACTTTCTACCTGTTTATTTTTTATTTTGTCAAAGTTACATATGAATTTATAACGAAAACTTTGGTATAAATTTTTCCTTGTGCACATATGCTAACGTAAAACTTTGAATGAAAATATCTTTAATAATTAATCTTATAATAATTGAATATTAAAGTAATAAATTTGACGATTCCAACAAGTACCCACATGAATTTATTTATTGTTATGTATAAATCACAAAATATTAGCTAAACTGAATTAGATAAATTGTACAAAAAGTCAAAAAGTTTCATTTATTTAAACACAGTTGGAGTATGATTTTTTATATTTATTTCAGTGTAAATTTTCATACGATTATAAATAACATTTAATAATGGCCAAATAAATGCAATAAATATTATGTAATGAAAATGAGAAGAATATAATAGAGAGAGTATTTCATATTAACAAGGACTGTTTATAAAAAGTGTGAAAATGAAAAAAAAAAATTATAAATGAAAATTCAATTGGGTTCAAAGCAAAAAAAATTGATGCTATGGGGTCTCGAACCCTGAACTTCTTAAACAAAGATTGTTCACCCATCCAACTCCCTAACCACTGAAGCAATGCTAGAGTCATTTAACATTATTACAAATTATAATATATATACAGATATAAGGGATGCTTTTCCATTTTTTTTTCTTTTCTTCTTCGTGGGGGTAGCACGAGCCCCCCCGGGCGTCAACGTGGATCCGCCACTGGATAAAACCCCAAAGAACTAATAAACAATAAACAAAATCTCAATATTAGTTATTTAATTTCAAAACCAATTACTAGTAGACGCTAACTTTCATTATTACTTCATTTGTTTAATTACACCCACAACTTTGTAAATCAACAATATAATAAGAATATATATGTGTGTGTGTGTGTTTTTAAAAAAAAATAAGAAGAATCTACCCTTGTGATGCTTCAATGACCAACGCCCTCAATACAATCAAGCTTATATCCATTTGCTCAAGCTTTCCTATTCGTTTTCCCCTAGCTTCTTTCTCATCACTTTTGGGCTTTCAACTTTTTTTATTTTTTATTTTTTTTATTTTTTCTTCATAATTTTTTAAAATTAATATGAAAAGTAGAGAAAAGTACAAAAAAAAAATGTCAAATAAAAGTTATTAGCACTAAAATTAAGCGCGTGTATCATACGCATATCCTCCGGCGAGAAAATAGGGGTAAATATCGCAATTTGTTGACTTATATACTAATATGTCGCCACATGTTAATTTTTATACCAATATGTCGCCGGCAAGAACTTTTATACCAATCTGTCATAAGGGTGTTAACTTTTATACCAATATGGTCAATTACATTCTTGGCAAAAAACACAAAACAAAAAAAAATGTACATGATAATTCCTTAGTTCAATTCACAATCTAAACACAATCTTTTTTTTTTAATTAATGATTATTATTATTATGACTTGGCCGTTGTGGGGATTGTAAAAAGTTACATTTAGGGCATGTTCACATTTACTGAACTGAGCTGAACTGAACTAATTAGAGCTAAACTGAAATGAACTAAACTGATTGGAGTTGAACTGAACAGGCCCTTAGACCTGGTTTTGTTCAACTTTTTTTTATATGTATTTTTTTATCGTTAAATATCTTTAATAAAAATGAAAAAATTAGGAAAATTACATAGTAGTAAAATACACATTATTAGGAATCTAACAAGGCCTTTTTTTCATTTATTATCGTACACTTAAAATTAAAATTTGGTCAAATCTGACAATCAAATCAAATAAGATCAAACTAGATCAGATTAAATCAGATAAGCACAAATATGATGAACTAAACAAGCCTTTATATAAGAAATAGGATATACCCTTAGCCTTAGTAGATCACCTTAGAATATCCCCTATAACAATATTTTAATAATTCATCCGTACTATGCATCCCAACCACAATCAAGGGGTCTATTTGAATTTTTAGGCTTTGTGTTTTTGGCTATTATAGCATTTTTCTTCTTCAATTTTGTTCATATATATACCCTCGTTCAAATTTGATAGTTATGCTGACAATGTAATTAAAATTGAGAATGTGACAACCTAAGGCCAACAGTCTAAAGCTAGATCTTCAAATTACCTCCATAACTATACAATAGAGAAGCCAGGAGACCAAAAATTGCATAGTTTGATTGCAAGTTTTATTGCAACACGTACTGTGACAATCGACAATATACAAATTACTCTCTGTGTCCCTAAAAGATAGCTCACAGGGATATTATGTTTTTAAGATACGTAATTTCTCTCTACTTTTCTAGAAGCCTACATTACATGTCCATTCAATACTAAATCTTAAAGACTGGAATACCTTATAAACTGTTGCAATTGATGTCAAATACAAGTACATGTTAAACTACCATTAATTTTGTAGCTCAAACAAACTATACGCAAGCTTATTCAAGATTTCCAGTACGTAATTCATACAACAGCGACAATGCCATATTGCTAGGGAGGTTATTAATTCCTCAGCAATCTCATATATCAAATAACAATGAATCTATATACGCGACCAAGCTCTTGATACAAGCTGGTCACCAATGGGTTCAAACAGATTTGTTTTCCTACAATACAACTGGCTCACAGTTTCGAGCCAGAAGTAGCCATTTTGATGAGGTCTTTCCGCAGAATCTTCCCAGATGCGTTCTTGGGCACAGAATCTATGAAGGCCACCCTCCGGATTCTTTTGTAAGGAGCGACCTGCACCATGAAAAGTTAACTTAATTCATACAACTTTGAATGAACAAGCGGAAACACAAATTTGACATCGCGTGTCTCCTTATACATCCCAACTTGTGCTCTACTCTATGTTTCCCATCCAATTGCTTCAACAGATAAGTAAAAATTAGATCAAAGGACTAACCAAGCTAAAATATTAACTTTTTATAAGAGTCAAATAAGGGTTAGTAACTTCAGATAAGTTCATAAGCGTGGTTAAGTTTAAAAACGTCTAACAATTGTTTCATGCTCACCTGTTTTGCTACAAAATCCATGATTTCATTCTCAGATAAGTTACTACCAGCTTTCCTCACTACGTATGCCATTGGAAACTGACCAACATTCTTATCTGGGAACCTGTTGTGTAAAAAGGAGCGTTACTATATCAGGTATTTCAGAATGATTTACATACAGACAAATAAATGAAATCACAAAGAAGGATGTGTGTATGTTTAGAGTAATATCTTACGGAATAACAGCAGCATCTGCAATTTCTGGATGAGTAAGCAGCAATGCTTCTAATTCAGCAGGTGGAACCTAAATATCAAATACATCAATGAGAATTTTTCAGGGGCAGCAACTAAAGATATTATTTTCGCGTCTAAAATTCAGTATAATGTTAATCTTCTGTGAACATCCTATCAACCATATGGTGTTAAATTAAAACCAATCTTCATATTCAGACAGAAGATCAACAATTAGAGAAATATTAACCCAGGGTTAAGAGTCACTTTAAGATACCTCAATTACCCCTATGTCGAAAATCAGCAGTCATATTGTTGTTCGACCCTCCATAATTAAGGGATTCATTAGGATTTTACTAACATTACCTAGATAAATAAGATAGTAGTAGTTTTTTTTCAATCCTCTTTCCACCACTACATCAGGGTATCATGCCATGTTCGAAATTTAAGTCATATAAATTTAGTTTTGCAAATATGATGGCTTTATCAGGATGTGGCATACATGAGTAGCATGATTATTGATTCCAAATGGGCATTACAAAAACAATTTCGATAGACCTAGATAATAATGGATGCTCCTAGCTCATAGTTTCATGAGTTATGAGACTTATGACTAGAGAGTTTGCATATTCTATTTCGCTAAAATATTTGTGTAAGACCACCTTACCATCATAAGACCACTTTCCCCTATCTGAATTTCACTCTCTTCTTAACATAACCTACATACAAGGTATTCTTGTGATGGTAAGACGGTCTTTTTAAAAGAATTATACTAGATAAAAGAGAGTGAGGGTCTGTTCTCTTCCGTTGAAATTCAGTTCAGGTCAGTTCAGCTCAGTTCAATTCAGTTCAGTTCAGTTCAGATCTTAATTTACGTCTAATGATATTGCTAATGATATAAAGCCAAATTTCATTCTTTAAGTTTAATAATAATAATAATAATAACAATAAGTAATAAATAATAATAATAATAATAATCAATAAATAATAATAATAATAATAATAACAATAATAACAATAATAATTGAAATAATAATACTAATAATAATCAATAAATAATAATAATAATAATAATAATAACAATAATAATAATAATAATAATCAATAAATAATAATAATAATAATAATCAATAATTAATAATAATAATAATAATATGTACATTTGTATATACACATATGTATAGTAATAAATAATCAATAAATAATCAAAGATCACTAATCCGTAGTTAAAAATCACTAATTAATAAGTTCAGTTCAGTTCAACTCAGCTCAGCTCAGCTGAGTTCAGTCAATCGGAACAGGCCCTGAGTCTTGTAATGAAGTAGATGTTCCGTATTCATCAAGGCTCTCAAAGAGCCAAAAGCTCAAGATATCGATTTAGATTCATTATTCCATTGCAATTACTTGTTTACATTTTTTTTGATGTCTACTCCTGTTGGCCACATATATAGAAATGCAGGAGCTTTCTAAATTACCCAAGCTCCACTAGAATCCACTTCACATTTCATTAACATGGGAACTTATCCAAGTCTACTGTAGGACTACTTTTTTTTTTAGAAATATCGTGTTGTTACCTAAACAGAAAAAAGTTTAAATCATCCGTACACATGTAGGAGTTTTTAGTACCCAAAACATGATACTCAAGGTGAAATGCATTTCCCTTGTACAAAAGAGAACTTGATGGTCGATGGTACGTTGATACACATACCTGTATAATCTACTGTAAAACTTGTTTGATTACTTAAATAAAAATATATCACTATTTGCAGTTAATTAGAGATGAAAGTAGCCAAGTTAATGAGGAAATGAGCATACTAGATTACTAGTCAGCTTAGCATCCAGAACAGCAGATAACCTTGTTGATCAAATGAATGCACTAGTGTTTTTATAAGATACCGAGTATAACAGGAAGAAAGTTGTATAAGGTATGTTAGTCTGATGCATCAATAAGTAAATATTTCCAGGAAAGAAACATAATCAATCATCAAAGGAAGCACTATAAGAAGAGTTACTACTCCCCAACCCACACCCACCTAAAAAAGGGAAAAGAAAATACATATCCACTTCTTAAATTATAGATTTAACTCGGGATGGAATTAGTTGGGTTAAGAAGTACCTGATATCCCTTATACTTGATCAATTCCTTTAGTCTATCGACCACAAAGAGGAAGCCATCTTCATCAAAATAGCACACATCCCCTGATTTTAGCCAACCATCTGAAGTGAGAGTTGAAATAGTCGCCTCATGATTGTTAAAGTAGCCTGCAACAATAATGTAAGACTTTAGACAACATATCATCTGAAAATAAATTGTGCTTGGCAAGGAGAATGATCAGACTCATTAATTTCAGGTCATACTCAGGTCATGTTCTTCCAGTTCTGGTACATTTTGAGTATTTTCAGTCTTAAAACAGAATAACATAGTAAACAACTACACAACAGCATCATATTTATGGCTCCACTTATACATCTCAGCAACAGGTTCAAAGTAGAAGCAGTAAAATAAAAACTATAAAGCAGCATACAGGAGTCTTATTAGGGACCAAATCTAATATGCATACATGATGTTTTGACAATGTCAGAACTACAAGGTCCAAGTTCTAAGTAACAATTTATGATCTGATGCCTTGGATAAATATGTGAATATGGATGTTCGCCTTTTGGGCTTGAAGGTAGGTAATGATTAAAATTGCTGATTTAAATAAAGATGAAGGCATCCATAAAATTCATAAAGCAACATGTTAAAACTTACTAGTCTCCTGTTTTAAAAAGCCTTACTAGTTATAAATTTATCAAAAAACAATAATTGCTGATTTTAATTTCAACCAAGCCATCCATAAAACTCATAAAGCAAGATGATAAACTTCCTCCTTTTTCCTATTTTTGTAAAAAGTTACTGAGGGAAAACAATTTCAAAGCAAACAATGGCAACGAGCACTTAAGAATTGAAGTAAAAGAGCAAACAACCTTTCATAACAGTATGGCTGCGAAGCCAAAGTTCACCAGTCTGATTAACCCCCAAGGCTTTTCCACTCTCAGGGTCAACAATCTTTGCCTCCGTACTTGGTGAGAGCAACCCAGCTGTCCCATACCTCCGACTCTCCTCCAAACAGTCTGTTGTAGCCCCAATGCCTGTAGACTCCGTAAGCCCATAACCCTGCATGATCACAACATTTGGGAACTTCTCCAAGAATCCTTCGATCACTTCCTTTCCTAATGGGGCGCCTCCAGACAAAACATGCTTCAATGAACTCAGATCATAGTTCTTCTTGATATGATCCGCGTGATTTGCCATTGCTACCAGAATTGGTGGGACCAACGGAAAGTAACTGACCTTGTACTTTGATATTGCTAGGAGCAAATCATTCATTTCAAATTTGGGCAAGACAACAATGGTAGCTCCAGCTGCTAGTAATCCTGTGGCCAAGAGCCCAAGACATAAAACATCAACATTAGCTAAAACATTAATTCAGTGTAACTGTTTTAACTTCTAAGCATCAAACCAAAAGGTTATTAGGCACTGTTTAGTTCGCCTTATATTTGTTTATCTAAACTTATTTGATCTCATATGAATTTATTTGATCTGGTTTAGTCTCAATGTCAGATTTGACCAAACTTTGACCTTAAATATACAATAATCTATACAGAAAAAATATATCAAGTGGGGTTTTGTTATATTCGTAATAATGTGTATTTTATTAATATGTGATTTTTAGAATTTTTTTTCATTACGAAATCAAAAATATTATTAGCTATAAAAAAAATTGCATATAAAACGATGATCTGATATGAACTTGTTTTCTCTGATGTGATATGATCTAAACTTATTTTTTCTAAAATAAATAAAAATAAGGTGAGCTAAACAAGGCCTTACTTTCTTATTAAATTTTTTATTTTAATAACCGTTTTTTTTGAAATTCCTATTGAATTTGGAGTCTAAAAGTGAAAGATTAGTTAGTTACTACTACATGTCCCAAGCTCAAGTAAGGTTTCATACAAATTTACAATACCAATAAAAGTATTCTCCTGGATATCCTAACAAAATTTGGAAAAAGAAAAAAAAAATCACTCATTTCGATTTTGATACAATACAGCATGATGATTGGTGTCATTTCATAGATCATCCTCCATAGCACAAGGAGTCAATGTCCATATTCCGAATGTCTAACATTAGAAATTTGACATGTGATTTACTAGGACTAGCCAACTTCGGGCTCTTCTCAGTTTTTGATACTGGGAAAGGACATTAAAATAAAAAAGAAATCTCTATAAATATACCTTAGCTTGCAACTCATACATAAACAGTTCAAAGTTAAAACTCATTCCTTGATGCTTTTTCGAAATCAATTCACATACTGATATAGAATTCTGTAAGCTACTTCTATAAGATTAAATTAATGATATGAGGATATCCATTAATATTGCATCCACTAGTCACAACATAAAATCTAAAATTACGGCCTCATTGCTAAAATTTTTATTACTTTCTTTTTCTACTTTTTTACAAACCCGATGTAAATTCATCTTTCCAATATACTTTTATTTCTTTTTATCTAACTTTCTTAATACTCACAAAATCAACCCAAATGGATCGTTCTTTCGGGGACGGAGGGAGTAATGAATTACCATTAGCTTTGTGTAAGTGCGTAGATAAAATGAAGTGTAATTATAACGGATGATATAAAATGAATATATTATACACTTGGACCACATTTACCCACATTGACTTACTTTAACTACTCCCAAAAGTAAAGTATTTCCATTACTTTAAAAAAACAGAAAAACATAATAATGAATGAGTAATGAATTACCATTAGTTTTGTGTAAGTGTGTAGATAAAATGAAATAGACACTATAGGTCTGTTCTCCTCAGATTATTTTCACTTCATTTTTATTCAGTTTAATTTAATTCAATTCAGTTCAGCTTCTAATTTCTATCTCTCATAAAATATTCAATTTAATTCAGTTCATATCAGCTCATTTTAGTTAATGAGAACAGGTCCTATATTATAAGACGAAAGGAATAAAGTAATAATCACAACGTCAAGTAAAGTAAATCTAGAACTCGTAGTAAATAACTAAATAATATCCATTAAAACAGTAAAAAATAAAATAAAATATGAGGTTAGTAAAAATACCTGTAGCAAAGGCAACAAGGCCATAGATATGAAACATGGGAACAGTACATATAAATGTATTACCATTCCTCTGATCTTCATCATTTAATCTAAACCGTCCGATTATCGTCTGTACCATTGCGATCATATTCCGATGAGACGAAACTACCCCTTTACTCTCCCCAGTAGTTCCCGACGAATACAGCAACGCTGCGGCGTCGTTTTGGCAAACTCTCTCCTTCACTCTCACCTCTTTTCTCTCTCCTTTGACCATCTCCTCCAACGTCGTCAATATTTTCAAGTTCCCGAAACTACCCTTTTCACCGCCGAGTAGAATTACCGGGATGCCGGAGCCGGCGAGCTTGGGGGCGAGTTCAGGGGTAGTGAAGGCTAGGAACGGCTTCGAGTCCGCGATTTGTTTGGAAATCTCGCGCGTGGTGTTTAAAGGATTGGTGGTGGTGATCAACGCGCCGAGGGACATGACGGAGAGGCAGACGAGGGGGAAGGAGAGAGAGTTGGGAGAGAGAATGAGGATGACGTGGCCTTTGCGTACACCCCACGTGGAGGAGAGAGAAAAGGAGAGGGAATCAACAGTGGACCAGAGCTCGGAGTAGGACACGTGGCGTTCATTGGTGGCGTCGATGAAGGCGGTGGTGGTACAGTGGGGTCGGGAGGAGATGAAGGTGGTGATGTCTAAGGATGTGTTTGGTGGGAGTGGAATTGCTGGACGTTTGCTGTAAAAGGTGGAGTTGCTAATGCAAAACCCGCTTTTTTTGTCCATGTTTTTGTTATCTTGCGCCATGTTCGAGTCGAGTCGAGTCAGTTTTTGACAGTTCTAAATTCGTTTGTAAACTAAATAATTCTTTCTCGAGTTTTGATGTTTGATAGGGAGGGAGATTGAAGATATATTATATAGTATATACTACGAGTAGTAAAAGGGAGTTGCCAAAGTGGAGTGGAAGAAGAAAGTTGACTGTTCGAAAAAGATGGTAGTGGAAACTCAGGTGAAAGAAATTCTAGTGGAGACCAGAGAATTTTGGAGATGAATGCTACAAGACAAGCAACATGTGCATTATACCTCTTTTTTTTTTTTCTTTTTTTTTTTTAGGGGAACATGTGCACTATACCTAATTAACAAACATAATTCATAATTTTGAAAAAAAAAAAGGTTTAGTATTCTTTTTCTCTAACAATTTCCCCCAATTTCATCATCAGTTCCAATTATTAATGTTTAATAACATCAATTTCCAATTTGAAAATTTGATACTCTCTCCGTGTTTTTTCTACGTGATACACTTTTCATTTTCAGCCGTGTGTTTTAAGTGATACACTTCCATTTTAGGAAATATTTTATAATATAATAATGTAAACTGATCCCCACTCCCACATAAAAAATTATTTCACTCTCCTGCAGTGGTCCCCATGTAAATAATATTTTAATGCTACCGTTATTTTAGCTCTGATATTTTCGAACTCACCCTTATTTTCCCTCTCTTCATATCTTGAAGCTTGGACTCAAATCTGTATAACCCTTACTCCTCAATTCAATGCTAATTTCCTTCAATTGTTGTTGTAGTTCGGCCGTCAATTACTTTCCACACCTTTTCAAAACCCAGTAAAAATAGTTACAGAAAATTTGGGTTCATTTTGTTTGCTCGAATTTGGGGGTTTTAACAAGCAGTAAATCCAGATCTAACAGGGGCAATGCAGAGACCGGTGGTTATCTACGCTGTATATTAGTGAGTCGCTTTGAATTGACGAAGTGGTTGGTACGTAGCAACGATGAATTGTTGAGGTTTCTCTGTAAACCCCTATTTGATGCTTAAGACGAAACCCTAAACCGAGTTGGGGCTTTTTCAAGCAATTGGTGTAGTTCAAAGCTTCTGCATTGTTGGGTAAGTTGTGTAATTGGATTTGGTTCTAAGTCAATATCTATAAAATGGTAGAGAATTGAAATTAGAATTACGAGCAAATTAAAAAATAATTGACTTTTTACATGGTAATTATTGCTTGTAGGTTAATGGTATAATGGAATCGATGCAAGGTGGTTCATTGTCGGAAAGTGATGATGGTGAATTTATCCCAAACACCCCGTCGTTTTCTCCTCCTCGCGTATTTCTATGGAAAATCAATTAAGTAATTATCGGCTAATGCTCTGTTGTATGAAAATATTGGTTTTATGTGAATGAATAATGAAAATATGGCCTTCCTCAATGATGCATGATTACCTGTATTGTATTTCAATTTGGATATGCATGACTTCAAAATACATTGATCCTTATTAGGAATGTAAGTTGCATTGATGTGTTATTGTTGTTGTCACTTGCATGTGAATTGAAATGGTATCCTGATAGACATAATCACATTTATATAACTAAATATTTATCATTAATTTCCTACCATATTACAATCACTTTACATTACAATTTCCTACCATATTGTCTTTCTAAAGTAGTACCCAAATAGTTGTACATACATTAGTCAATTATACAAAAGCTTATCCACATTCAACTCTGATACGTGCATGCTAAATTCATCCATAATGCACCTCTTAAGATTCTTAACACTAAAGACCTACTAAATACATATTTCTACATTACAAAAAGCATCTGTAATGTTGGCTGAGTGTTGTATTTGGGCAGTGCTCCAAAACATTTATTGCTGCTCACCAAGTTCCTACTTCAGCAGCTTGGAACCCATCTAGTATTTCCTGAACAAGTTCTGTGGGTGGGGATAAAACAGTAGGTAATATGCCTTGTCTGGCTAAGCTTTCCTTAGCTATGTGTTGTAAAATGTAGTCATTGCCCCCCTTAGCTTTCATAATTTCAATCATGACTAGTTGCAGGCTCAAAAATACCTTGTTCCCCCTAATCGAAGAGAATTCATTGTATGCATTTTGCACATTCCGTATCAGCACTTGATAATTTTTAGGGGTTGTTTGATCCTTGAGACACTGAATAGCATTAAAAAAAGCCTAAATCGATCTAAAACATTTAGGTCTGGACTGTTAGGTGGTTGAAACACTAACCTTATGTCTTTGTTGCTTGGCTGAACTGCTTCCAACCATTCTGCATCATCAGTTTTTATATGTGGTGTTGCGTTATCTTGCTGAATGAATATTGGTCCTTGGTGACTTGCTGGCCATTTCTCTAAAATTGCTGGTAAAACCCTCCTGATCAGCATCATTCTGTATGCTGCTTTGGTGACTGAAAGTATGGGTTTTAACTCAGGGTTCCCGCTGGTCTGTTTTTGCTTTTTTTTTTCTTTGTCGGCACTGACAGGCTCAAGTCGTATCACCTAATCAAAAGTAATTCCTAAAACCACTAACTTAGGGAAGTAGGGTCGAATCCACAGGGTAACTGGTCTTTCTATTCCTAATTAATTCAAGCAGTCTAAATTATAGAGTAACTAAAATATTATAATCAAAGGAAACTAAACTACGAAGATTTAGAGTAAGGAGAAAACAATGAATAAAAGACCTAGGGCATAGGTTCACCAATAAATAATATTCCAGGGTAAAACATAATAATCAATTATCAATGCATAAATTAATCAGATCATAAAGGGCTTTCGCTACATATTACAATCACACAATTAATTTACCGGTATTAAATCTCATCTCTCGAATCTCGAATTAACCATTTATAAATTAACCTGCCTATTGAAACTAGACCTAAACATCAGTTCTCATCTCTTGAATCTCGAATCAATATTGTAAAACTCATGCATAAAATATCAGACCTAATCTAGTCATAGAGCATTAAATCAATCAATAGGAAATTAATCTTAGCATTAATAATCAACAACAATAAATTACCCCTTCATATTATTTATGAATCCCCACAAACCCTAGAAAGGAAACTACTCACACATAATTAAATCTAAACTAATCAAAGTAATAAAACAAGACATGATCAAAAGAATAAAATAAATAAATAACTGAAATTAAAGTAGAAGAAATCGTTACCAAAGTAATCTCGAATTAAGAGTAGAGTTAAGAACAAAGTATATGAGAGAGAGAAACTAATCTAAAAGCTAAGTAGAGAGAGAAAATCAAAGAGAAGAATTAAGAAAGAGTAAAAAAGATGCTAAACTCGCTTAATGGAAAAGTATTTATATTAAGCAAGAATCCTAAATTAAAACAAACTTAAACGACGCTAATCGACTCCTAATAATAACACGCGCTCGATCTGGCACGCCTTTTTTCTCATCAGGTATGTTTCTCGCGCCCGGCCGGGCGCGAGTTCGGGCGCCGACTTTACTTCCCCCGCCCGGCCGGGCGCGCCTTCGGGTGGTAGCTCCTTTGGCCGGGCGGCACTCTTGGGCCACTATTTGGACTTCGATTGGGCTCCAACTCTTCGGGCCAATCCAGATTTCCTCTTCAGGTCCTGAATACTCGGTCCAAATGCCCCGGTATCACATATACCGAACCCTTAATCACCGGTTCGATGGCTATAACCGGTCCTAGGCTATAGAAACTGGTCGTGCTTCTCCAATGCTCGTAGTTGCTCCATAATATCTCGGGAAAATGCTCCAAAAGTGCAAATCCCTACAAAAGTCAATCAAATCTACGAAAACACTAGAAAACACCAATTAGTAATAAAAGTAGCTCTAAAGAGCCAAAAACACTACTAATTATAACTAAGGAACAGGAGTAAAATACTATATAAAATAGACATATCAGGCACCCACTTGATAAATGGGAATACTCCCAGTTTGCCATCAAAAACACAAACCCCTCAGAATTGAACCATGGTCGTGCAACTACAGCATGGAACATGACTTTGCTAATGAATCTTTTACTTTTACAAGTCCTGTAAGGCCTTTTCTCGCACGGTGTCAAGTAAAACTTGTGCTTGCCCTTTGTCATGTAAAACCCCTTCTCATCGATGTAAATGGTGTTGAACATGTCTTCAAACATCGGATTTTCATCGAAACTACTTTCTGCAATTGCCTGCATGCACCAGTTCAGCCTTTGTGTTTTGTTTTGCTCAGTAAGTGATGGCTTTATGGCGTTGTTGTGTGGTTTAAGCTTGCCTTCCTTTATCAGTCTTCTGATCGTGGTTGTGGACACATTTAAGGCTGCATCACAACCTTTGATATACCCCCCTTTTCAGATACAGAACTGCCCGTATCATTTCTACAGTCACTCTAATTTTTTTCCTCCCACACTTGAACTTCTTCGATTGGACATTCATGGACTCTCCTGCCTGCATGTTTTTCTTTGTAAGTGCCCAAATTCATTATACTATGGATCTTGAGCAACAATATATGGCTACAACCTCCTTCATAAGCCCACGAAAAACGTTCCCAGATTCTGCTCGACTGAGTAACCATTCTGCAATCTTTGTTCAATTCTTAGAGGTCAATTTTTTTTTTAATACAGACAAATTATGGATGATTGTTAAATGAAAAATTGAACACTAATCTACCCTCCCCCCCACCCCCCCCCATCCTCGGTTTTTTTTCAAGTGATTTCTTCTTAGCTTTTCACTGTTTCTAATTTTTTTTCCCTCTATTTTTTCAGGTATGTGGTGGAAAAACAAGACTTCATTGAACGTTGTGGTATTTATAGCATGGAGCTGAGTAGTTGAAGTATTAGGAGGGAAATGAAAAAATTTTGAAGTTGTAAATTTCAAGTTCAAAAATTGCTGAAAACGTTAAAGGGAAATGAAATTTTTAGATTTTGAATTTTAAGTGTACTGTATGTGTAAAATGTTGGTGCCAAATAAGAAGCGCCACTTTTCCTTTCCCTCCAAACTGCTTCTATTATGACTAACAATCCCCACCCCACCAAAAAGATGGTCCCCACTTGCAATAGTCATGAATAAAATAATTCATCCACTATCTTTTCTTTTCATTATTTAATTACTCAGTCCCACCATCCTAATATTTAATTGAAGTCAAATAAAGTGTCATAAGCTACGTGTCGGTCAAAGTGTATCTGTAGGGAATAATTTCAAGCTTTAATCTCACTAACTTGAACCCCACTGTGATCATACACTAAAGTACAGTGGCGTCCAAAAGGGAAGAAGATAGAGCAAAAGAGTCGCCAACAAGTTTTTTAAGAAACTTTGTAAACCATTCATAGGATGAAGGTTACACCCCTTACGATCCAAGAGATCGTCAACTCCATAAGGTCTAGAACCAAATAAGGGTTCGGGGATGAAGGTACAAATCCCACCTAAAAGAGATTGAACCTGCCCTAATAATAGGCCTCTACTTTATTTTGATCGTATTCATGTGCGCTTTCTAATTAACATGCAATCAATAGATTAACCCTAAATCTGTTTATCTAAGTTGGTTGAATATTAATGCACAAATAAATCTATTATTGGCGATCACTTGAATTATAATCATAATTAACCCTAACAAGATTATTAAATATCTTATTAAGCGTGATTACAAGTACCAAATTCTCTTTAAACATGCATAAAAGGTGTGATCAAGCAATAAAAATAATATCAAGCAATATAATAAGTAATCAATATCATGAATAATAATAATAATCATATCATAATAATAATAATCATAATAGTCATAATAATCATAATCATCATAAATAAAATAATCATCATCAAAATAATAATAAATTATAACAATTATAATCATAATCATGTTCATGTTAATATTAAAGCATAATAAAAATAGCAAGATCCTAGGCATGATACTAACAAGATTAATAACAAACCCTAGCATGTCACTAAGCAATAAAAATCAAGTCTTTAACCCTAACATGATACTAACAATCATAAATATTAGGAAGAGAATAAAAGGCATCATAACAATCATATTTAAATATTAAAATTACCCTAGACATGATACTAGGAATATCATAATAACAATATAAACATGATTTCTACATCATAATATCAATTAAAACCATTAAAGCACTTACTTTGATGCCTCGTACCTCTTTCTAATTACAAAATACACACGTTAATAATTTCAAGGAAAATAATAAACAAAACAATTAAATTAAATAATTGAAAGAGAGATTTGAGACCAAACCCTCAGAAATTAAAACCTTTCACGTCTAGAGCGAAGACAACTTCGAATATGGCTAGGTGTATCTAAGTCTTGCGAATGCGGAATTTTGTATATGAAAACAAAGTAAGAATTAAGAGAAAGAGAGAAAGAGAATAATCAAGAAAATCTTGATGAGAGTTGGTGAATGATTAAGAGAATTAATGATTGCGAATGAAAACTGATTGTAGGTGAATGAAAACGGAGTTTTTAATACG